AAATATCTTTCTGAAGTGAGTAGCTGTTAAGCCAACTGCTTTGTCTTTTACTGTGAAGAAGAATGATGCTTGAGACAAGCAGTAGCTGCTTGGTTCCGTTACTTTCAGAGAGCTGAAAATGATATGGCAGTGGCATCATTTCCTCTGTGCGTGCGCGCTTTTGTTTATTTCAACAGAGATGTCTAAGCTGCAGCAAAATCTTTGCAATATGTATGCAACAGAGTAAAACAAGCCCTTTTAATATGCCCTCCCACTATTGGTCTATTGCCAAAGCAGCATTTCTTTGGATCTGAGAAAACTTGGAGATTTTGAATTTGAGGGAGAAAAGATAGAAGCGTTGCTTGGTGTCCTCCAGTTTTTTTCAAGTCCTATTTGCTTAAGCTTCTTACTTTTCTGGTTTCTGTTCATAGACAGGCATAACTAGCTAGCACTGATTGATCTTCTTTCTGGTCAAGGGCCAAATTTAACATTTTAGTTTTATGTTGAGGAATAGATCTCAAAGTGTGGGTTGTCAGGAGACTAAGAAGTGGGTGGTGCCAGAGAAAAAAGGAAATTTCATTGGATTCAATTGAGTTTGAATTCAGTCTTAATAAAAATTAAAAATAGTTAATTAGATGCATTACCACTCCAATTCTTTCTTATTATTACAATATTTGCCCTTCCCTTCTGTTGTTAGTTCTCTGCTGTAGTATGGTGGCTACTGCTGACTGCATATCTAAGGATCAAATTATAGGTTGTATTATTATATGTATAATGTGCAGTTTCCCTTCTATTTTTTAAATTACATTTTGGGAAGCATAAGAAGCATTCTTTCCATGTTGTTTCAAGTATTCCAGCATCTCACAATTGGGAGTTGCATTATTCATGGGTTGTAATTAATCTTTCACTGTAATTTTATTACTGAACTCATTTCTATGACTATGCAGGCAGGACAAGCTGCAAAACAGCTTGTTTAACTTTTGCTTTCATTGTTTGCAATTAATATTTATTAAATAAAATAATCCCCTTAGCCAAACTTTCTGTAATTGAGTGGTAGATAGCAACCCCATTTATCCTAGTGGTTTTAGGGCAAAAAACAAAGGGAGCCTGGGGATAATTTCAAGTGCATGTTGTTCCCTGTGGTAGAACTCAAAATGTTTTGGTTTTGTTTGTTTCCAGAACCAATTGAAAACATTCTAACAAAAAGTTCTGAGTAGAATTTCTGTATTCTAACTTTGAAACTTTTCTTTTGATTTCACACTCCCCATATGGTAATGTATCAATACCTTAAGCTACAATAAAGTTTCCAACACCTTTGTTCAATTAAGATGTGAGCATATTATATCCCTAAATCTGATTCTCTTTCATTTTTGTTTCCCATATGTTCCTCCACACACACTTGTTCAGCCAGAAATTGGCTAAATTTTGCCAGAAATGTCACAAATTCCCACACCTGCCATAAATTGAAGAAACTTCAATTCTTCAAAACATTATTTGAGTTTGGCCCACAATTAAGATTCAGAATTTTTTTTTTCTGTATAGCTTGAAGCTGAAGCGAGGTATTCCTATGTCCCTTTTTTTTTCAGATAAGTTTATTAAAAGTTTTGAATAAAGCAATGAAAGATAATACAGATTAAAAGAAGATTTTTCTTCTATACAGGGCAGTCTTTCTCTGTACTTTAGTCAGGTGATTGTTGATCCTAGTTACAAATTTCTTTAGCACTTTAAACAGTCTCTTTTGTAAATCCAACAAAGGGAAATTATTCCAATTATTCTTTGGGATTATCATTTTTATTTCCTTCTTGATTTTTAGAACCTCAGCCAGTTTTCTCTCTGTGTCTGGTGACAGATTCTTATTCAAAGTCTCTATATTTATATCAAGTAAATTTTCCTGCATATCCTGTTCTGTAATATCTTCATTTGGGAGCAAACTGTTCTCAAGAAGATACAACGTGGCTGACATTTCACGATGCAGGCCTCTATGCAGTTCTTCAAAGAAGTCTCTAAACGCCATTATAAATTGCTTGTCTTATACCTCCAATTTCCTAAAACAATTTCTCTTTTCCACAAGCATATTTTATTTAAAAAACTTCAAAATCTCAATATTCAGAGTCCAAAACTGCAATGTTTTCTGAGCCCTTAAAACTTTCTGTAGCCAAACCTTGTCTTACTTTTTGCTATTTATTTTAAGTTCTTAAAGATTATAAAAGTAGGTCTTTGTATTCTTTTACTGAGGGTTGAAAGCACTCACTCACCCGGTGTTCCCAGCCTTGTCATTCCAAAGGTGCCTAACTTCTTTAAATCTGTTAATAGACAATTTCTGAAAACAGTTAGCAAGGGACGTGCATGAACTTAGTGTCCTTTGAAGGGCTTTGTTTGCAGCTGGAGCAAATATGGTGAATTCCTCCATCTCCCGGTTTCCCCCACCCCACCCAAGATCGCTGTCTAGCAGTCTCTTCATGAGGAAAAGGCACAACTGTAAGCTTGGGCAATCTTGCATCTCTCTCTTTAATCCAGAGACAATCAAAGGGAACCGATCTGTTTCGGCTGTTTGTAACCTACTGCAAATGTCCACCATCTTGCCTTGGAAGGCTCCAAGGTATCCCTACGTCCTGAGGGCTAAAAAATAGATTAATTCCCTCATGTTCTCTCCCATCCTTGGTCCCTATCTGCAGTGTATTAATGGCAAAATTCTAAATGAAGGCTGAAATTAGACGCTCATCTTTTTATCATCACAGACTTTGATTTTTTATTTTTATTTTTTGCTCTTAAAACATTATCACTGACTCATATTTTGAAACACAAACAGTTCATTTCATGACTCATTTACTGCATAGTCAAGAAGGACATATATGCTGTGCAATTGGCAAAACACCATACAGCCACTGTTAAAATGTAACTAAAAATAAAGTTTACTATAATTTGAAGGGGAAGATACAAGTTTAAATATCTATGCAAACTTGCTTAAATATTTTCCTCTATTAAATTCATTTGGCTGGTACATATTGGTTGGGAAAATACCTGTGGGAGATGGATGGATGGACAGATGGATTGACAGATGGATGGACAGATGGATGGATAGACAGACAGACAGGCAGATAGATATACTGCTTTTCTAAATTTCTGTACAAAACAGTATGCAACCTATACACTGAAAGTTATATTGTAAACCTTATCTATATATATATATATATATGTATGTATGTATGTATGTATGTATGTATGTATGTATAACTATAACTGTATCATAATTTAGAGAGGGAAAAAATCTACAGTCCTGAGACAGTGAGACTTGTGAGAATGAAACTTAAAATAACCCCACCTTGAATTTGTTTCATTTTAGATGGGACAGAGAAAGACTCAGGCAGGCTTTCAATATCTTCTTATTCTGCCTTATTACAAGAAAAGCATTCCTGGAATCCCTGCTGTATCTGTTTCTTGACCTGGCCTGCCTCAAATGGCTGACCTCTTTGTCCACCCAAAATGTCATGCAGTCTTTGGCCCAATCCAAAATTGCCCAATCCATGTCTTCAAGTCAAACGTTTGAGTTGTTTGGCCACATTTTGAGTTAGCATGTATGTCAACAAGGCCAGTATCCTGGTTGAGATATAACAATCTTGGCTTAATATGCAGTGGCAAATTAGGTCAAATTGGGCATTGTGATATCTCTTTCTTCCCTTCCTCTTATCTCTCAGTCAGTTGTAATGCAAAAAATGGGATGATGCTAAACACAATTTCTCATTAGCCAAAAGCAGAAAATTGTGACTAAATCTCTGATTACAAGCCAAAATAAGAAAGCAAATCTGGAAATATTCAATTTCTGTCCATGAGGGGAAATGAGGAAGGAACTTTCAGACCTAACTTTCATGCTTTCTCCACTAAGCCATAGTGTCTTTTTGGGGAGGGGATTGTGCCCTCAGGTCAATCTTAACTTCTGGTGACTGCCTGGATTAGTTTTCTTGGCAACATTTTTGGAAGTGGTTTGCCGTTTACTTCTTCCTAGGGCTTAGAGAGAGGGATCGGCCCAAAGTCCCCCAGCTGGCTTTGTGCATAAGACAGAACTAAACTCCAAGTGTCTCAGTTTCTAGCCAATGCCTTAAACCACTGAGTTTAACCAGTCAGCCACCTGACTGGCTCTCAGAACATAGTTTAATCAAGTGAACTACCACCAGATCTTCATATTATTGGGAGACGGTGGGTTTGAGACCACTATAGCTCCAACCTGTCCTTTTTATTCCTGGTCTTTATGGCATGTGTTAGTTTAATTCTTCTGTTACTCAGAAAATGTTTTGAGAATCCAGTACACAACATATGTAAGTCACACAAAGAGTTTCTGATTCTCACAGTCATTAGGCTATTTTTTGGTTGACGTTTCAGTATACATTTTTCTGAAAAGTTTGCTGAGAGCTGTCTTTTCTCCCCTTGCCCTCAGTAAAAGAATAACACTTTGTAGACTTTTCTCCAAATGTTCTGCATTATTTGGGTATATGGGCGGGGGGGTACCTCATGTTTCACATTTTCCCCAGTAATGCCCCAGAACAATGATAGGACTGTCATATTACCAGGAAATGTGTGTGCGCACACACCCACCCACACACACACACACAAAATAGAGGGAGAGAAGGCGTTACCTCTATTCCTCACAAGAAACTATCAGAAATGTTCTTTTCTCTTGAAGAAACTGAATGATTTTCTCTGTCCCTAACCCAGCAGATAAGCTTTTATTTTTGTTTAAAACCTCCCAATATTATATGCATATTGGACCAAGAACTGCACTGCAGTTTTGAGAATTGCACAACCTGAAAGGATGTAGTCTTCTGATCTGCATATTAGCCCAATAAAAGATAAAATCAGTTCACTTAAAAATACAGAGCAAATAAAATTCTCCAGTATTCCTACCCAAAGCTCCTTAGGACTCGGTTACGTACATTCACACATTTCTGAAGTGTGGAGAAGTTCAAAAACTTAAATGTTGATACAGTCACAGTATAAAGCTTAAGATTTTGGTTTGTTTGCTTTAGGTTGGTCTGTGGTTTAAAGGCAGTGAAGATTTAGCCATTCCAGAAAGTCCTACAGAGCCTTTACCATTTAACCGTCAGAAGCATCTCATAGAAGTAAGTATAAACATTTAGAGGCCATAATCCAAGGCAGAAAGGATAAGACCACCATTTTCTTTGGGTTCCAAACATTTTCTGCTACACTCCAGCAATTTTGAAGTAATGGATGGATGCTATTTTTGGTTTAGTTTAGGGTTTTGTTTTGTTTTTTATGTACATTTCTACTCTGAGGCACAGTTGTTGATTATTTGCTTGACTTTCAAGTCTGAACACAATTCATTGTCCATTTCTGATTATTTATAACGTTTAAATGCAGATAGTTCTACTTTTCAGTGCTGATCCTAAATATCTATGGAGTTATTTCCAGCTCTTAAAATGGAAAGTCCAAGAAAATGGTTCTTGGGATGAGAGAGGGGCTTGGATATTTTAATAAAAGGGGGACAACATTTTAGAATTAGCAATTTTATGGGGACTTTTCCATACATTTTAGACTGACCATGCTATAATACATATACGTTTTCATGCTGAGCCAAAATCTATCTTATAATTTCTTAAGCATTGTCAACTGAGAAAGAGATTTCTGTTTTTCTGCCTTATTTTCAGGCTATGTGACAATTTCTTTGTAATTCCTCTCTGTTGTAATTTGGAGCTGATATTGTTTTCTGTTACATGTGTTTTCTGCATTCTGAGCCTCTTGGTTAGCCCAAATGGGAGCTTTTTCACACTCCCAATTGTAAGAATATAAAAAATTACCAACCAAATGCTTCTGGTACCTGGAAGCAGGAACAGAGACAACATTTTCCCACTCCCTGTGATTGAAGCATGCTGCCTCTAGCCTGTTGCTAATTCTCCACATATATACCTAATCCTTTTTAAAACCTTCCAAGTTAGTGGCGATTGCTGTGTTCTGTGATAATGAATTTCAGAACTTGATTATGTGTTAGATGAAGATGGGGGAAGGGGGTTTCTATTCTGTACCTCCTTCCAATCAATCCATTCCAGTGTTTCAGAGAGGAAGAAAAATGTCTTCCTGTCCACTTTCTCCATGGCACACATGATTTTATCCACTCAGGTCCCCTTCAATTACCATTTTTCTAAGCTAAAGAACTGCCAATATTCTACCCTTTTCTTGCATGGAAGGTGCACCAATAATTTTGGCTGCTCTCTTTTGTACTTCCTCCAGCTGTACTATATCTTTTCTCAAATATGGTGACTAGAACTTACACAGTATTCAGTCAGTCTACCATAGATTTGTATAAGGCTATTAAAAGGTTGGCAGTATTATTTTCAGTCCCATTTCTAGGGATCCCTGGTATCTTTTCTTTTTCACTTATGCCAAATACAGGATCAGCAACTTCCCTGAGCTTTCCCTTGTGACTCCAGATCTCTCCCTGGTTAGATACAGACAATTCAGACTCCATTCATGTATATATGAATTTAGGATGTTGCCACAATGTGCATAATTTCATACTTACTTAAATTGAACTGCATCTGCCATTTGAGTTAGCATTCACCCAGTTTAAAAAGATCCCACTGGAGCTCTTCACAATCACTTTTGCTTTTTACTACCATGAATAGTTCGTCCACAAACTTGGCCAAGAGTATACTTCCTCCATCTTTTTTTTTTTTTGCAGCAATAATTCTTTTATATGCATTTTTTCTTCAATCCCACCTCTTTCACTTCATATTCTATCAAGCATCGCTTTTCATGCTTCCCACACTTAATCAGATCCTTGCAATATAATTCTTTTCACACTGCTTCAAGCATATGCAATATCTTCTTTCCTTAGTTCCACTTCCCATTCATTCTGTTAAGAGATTAATTTATTGTCTAATAAGTTTTCATACAGGACTCGGACTTTTCTTCCTGCAGAGAAAGTACAGTACTTGAACGTTCACTCTAATTTCATTTCTTTCCTTTTCTTCCATTTCCATTTTTTCCCACTCTTGACATTACCAAAAAACAATCTGTTCAACATTCAGGACTTTTGTTCATCAGGCTTTTATTAGTCACACCTTTCCTAATGAACAGTCAAATCAGCCATGCTTTTAGATTCCTTCCTTTGCCATGTGTACATGTGAATAGACATACATGCTTAAACCACATATTCAGAAGAAACAGACCTTTTTCTAAGTAGATAGTCACCAAACAATCACTATTCTCATCCATTGTTGGGTTTCTGAATGACCCAGTAACTTTTTCTGTACTCTCTCTTCTTGTTCCCGCTCATCTATTCATTCACCAAACAGAGTAAAACTTTTCTTCCAGTTATACTTATTCAGGATGTTATGCTATTTTTTTTTGTTCTTTCATTATTTATGGATTTGATTTCTATGACTGCATACCTCTCAAAAGTGATTCTGGGTGGCTTACCACTGGACAGAGGTATAAAAAGAAAGAAACTAAAAACAAAAAACACAACCACCACCAGAAAATAAAAACAGAATAACAAAATAACTAAGTAATTGAATAACCAAAGCCAACCATTGTAGTCCATTCAAAAACCTTTCATTGTGCTTGGAATCATCTTGAGGTCTGGAGTGTTAGCATGGAATTATGCCTTATCTGTGGATTCCTACTTTCATACATGTCCACAACAACGTAGAGGTTGTAGATTTATAGTTTCTGACATGCATTTTAGACCTTCCACTCATAATTAAATCTATACTTCACTTCCTTGCATGTTTTAATCAGTTTCATTCCACAAATCAGGTCACCTCTTTCAGTTCTATTGCATCTTTCCTCTTTCTCCTACTTTTGCTAACAGAGAACCAACCTCCCTCCCTCATTTTATTTCCCTTCCCTTCCCTTCCCTTCCCTTCCCTTCCCTTCCCTTCCCTTCCCTTCCCTTCCCTTCCCTTCCCTTCC